TAACAAAGGGTGACTGTAGTAGGACAATCACAAAATTGCCCCATTCAACGAGGATATAGAGAGATTTTTGTCTCTCTTATCCTTTCTTACTTCATAAATTCTGTAAGCATGTCTTCAATCTCATTATTTCTGTCATCTTGTCATCTAAGCAGCTGATCCTCCTACTGGGTTTCTGACATGTGCAGGATGTGACACCACACTGTTTCTTGCACAGTAATATACTACTGTATCCTGAGATTTCTAACTGCTCTGCTCCATATAAGCTGTGCTGGAGCATGTTGAGGAGCTGCGATCTAGGGGATTCTACAGAAAACAGAGATGGCTGCAGAATGCTGTGGTGCACAGGCCATCCACATTTACCTCAGCTGGCCCTGATTGTTTGCATATTCATGAGGCAGGAAATTTTTGTGTTCAGATGTTCTTAAGTGAAGCGCTCTGTATAGATCCACTAAGTCCATTGTCCATTTGTTCAAAGTTTTGCTTCAGTTCTGCTACCTCTATGCTAAACTTTTGTCTGCTTGAACTACCTTTTTGAGACAAGGGTGTGCTAAGGTTCCTTGTTAAGATTGTGATATTGGTCAAAGAGCACATTGGCCAAACAATGGCCATGACTCATCCACATGGCTGACACTGACAAAGGTTCTACAGTCTGAGGTACAGGATCTCAGGATAAATCCTGAGGGGATTTCACTGACCTTCTCAGACAAAAAAGCTACAACTCTTGTTGCATAGGTCCTGCTTTACCTTGGTCTTAACCATCCAGTAGAAAAGTATGAAGACAAAATATAAGAAATAAAGCCATGCTGTTATGTTGAGCTGTGGGGGACTCAGGTCAATAATTTCTGACATTGCCAGTTAAACAGAAGACCCAATGCCATTATGGGCTACTGGACTCTTTTAGAATATTTTGCTGAGTTTACACACCTATAATATTCAACAACGGAACTTAAAAAAATGGGATATAACTATGAATGTCCATTTTGTATCTGTGTATTCAAAGTGGTTGGGATAGATATATAGTTGCATTCTCTTAATGAATAGAATGATTTGTTCTACTGGTGTTTGTAAATAGGATCACAAGTCTGCATCTTGTACAGCAATTAACCACTAAGAAGAATATATGCAGTGTATTATTTGTTGAAACTGTACTTTTGATTTGATTTGAAACTGTCTCATTGCTATATGTTTATCAATAAAACTTTGAAAAGAAAAAAAAAAGTGCGTGACAGCCTTCATATTATGAAAGAACAAGATACCAGGAGAAGCCTCAGCACAGTGGAATCAGCACAAATGGTCCAAGGTATTACCCAGAATCCTTAGGAGTGCAGAACTACAGAGCTCCAATAATGTGTGAACACCATGATTCGAATAAAACATGTTTTCCAATTATGCAGAGGAAAAAGTTTCACCTCAACCAGAATTGGAAAGAGCCCTGTGGGAGGGGAAACCCTGGAAATATATCCAAGAATAGAGTGCAGAAATGCAGTCAACAGGTAACTATTTTCACAGCTGAAGTTCCTACACATAAAGCACTATTTAAACCATGCAGTCAGATGAGGTGAAAGAAATAATCATGCTGAAAAGAAAATTATGTACCCCATTTAATGAAAAAGAAAGGAAAAATGAGAGAAGCCTGACCATAAAAACTTATGAAACAGAGACCCAGTCCTAGCCAAGGTCCGGAATTGCTGCCGACTTCCGGGAACCCCCAGACCCAGTCCTAGCCCAGGTCCGCAGCACGAAGGAGCTGAGCACAGCAGCCAGACCTAAGCCAGA